GAGCGGGAGGGCCACACGGAGGCCACTCCAGGCTCGAAGTAAGAAGTGCTTTGGAGACTTGGAGACGGTGACGCCACACCGAGCCAGGCTCTCCGAGGTCTGTGAGGTGAGCAGGCGTATCTCCCCTGATTGAGAGCTTGAATCCCCCCATAAATCATAGGCCTGGTCCTGGCTGACTGCTGGCCTGAGGGGCGGAGGGCGGAAGTGGCCTCCTGATTATGAATGCCCTGCCCTGCCTGGGCTATTAGCAGCTCAGTCAATAGCCGGTCGGTCGGTCTGGCTGATGCTGCTAATGTGGGTCCTCAGCACAAAACCCTTCAGGCACCGAGCAGCCTGCGCCTCCGGGGAGGGCCGAGCGGTGGCCCGCGAGCCTCTGCTCTGAGGCCTGGAGGCGCCCGGGCTCAGCTCTGGGAGCTGCCTCACCGCAGCAGGAGCCGGTGCCTGGCCCTGAGCGCCTCCCGGGCTGACCCGGAGCCGGAGCCGTGGGTCTGAATGGGGCTCTGGGCACTTTGCCTCCCGCCAGCTGAGGTCCGCTGACACTCACTCACCCAAGGGCCCTCGGGGCAGGAATTGGGGCATGGCCCTGGGCCAGGGGAGAGATAAAGGCCCTGGAGCAGCTGGGTGTGCCATGGCCCCGATGCCCTTTGACCCAGGAAAAGATGCAAGAGAAGGGAAAGGCTGTGTGCAGGAAGGGGGCCGGACACGGACTCAGAAAGGGCTGAGCACGGGAGGGGCCGGCCCCACAGCTCCCCGCCCTGGGCTTGGCCCCGCACAGGACCCGGGCGAGCCCCTGCTGCAGCGGGGGTCAGGGCGAGGGGGTGACCCCCTGGGGGTGCCTGCCGGGTTTTTACCACTCCTGGTCTCTCAGAGCCCTTCAAGTCCTGCAGTTTTAGGACATTTTTGGCCAATCCCGGAAGAACCCAGCTTTTCAGAAAGTCTGGAATTGAACCTTAAGTACCTTTTTTATTGTAAAAGTTATAGTTTGTATAGAAAGTTTGGAGGAAAAAAAAATTTAAAGACATAGAAGATGATAAAAACCATTCATTTAACCCTAACCGGTTTGGCTCAGTGGATAGAGCCTCGGCCTGCGGACTGAAGGGTCCCGGGTTTGATTCCGGTCTAGGGCATGTGCCTTGGTTGCGGTCACATCCCCAGGAGGGGGTGTGCAGGAGGCAGCTGGTCGATGTTTCTAACTTTCTATCCCTCCCCCTTCCTCTCTGTAAAAAACCAATAAAATATATTTTTTAAAAACCATTTATCTCACCATCTAGAGAGAACCATTAATAACATTTTGGTGTATTTTTGTCCCGTTGGTTTTTCTCAGTTTTGACACACCCACGGGTGTGTGTACACTCCCACACATAGGCATCTAGTAATAGCGGCTCTTATCTGAGCTCTTAAACCCGTGGGGACATCACCAGGCGGCTTTCCTGGCCCAGTAGCTCACTTTACCCCCATAGAGAGGGGTGATTATTCACTCATTTTATAGGTGGGAAAAGGTAAAATCTGAGCAGACATGATCATATTTCAGTCCTTGAAAGCTCCCCTGGTGACAGTGTGCAGGCCTAGAGCCTGGGCGAGGGGTCCACGGCTGGACCACGGGCTCGTGCAGACCTGAGCCAGGCCTGTGGGTGCAGGGCTCTCACTGCAGGGCCCTGGCGCCAGGTGCTGCCCCTGCTGCGGGTGTGTGTGTGTGTGTGTGTGTGTGTGTGTGTGTGTGTGTGTGTGTGACAGGGTGGGGGGAGCGCGGGGGGGGGGGGGGGAGGGCTGGGTGATGGGGCGGGGAGCACGCCCTCTCTCTCTTCCCGGTCCAGGGACCCCGTTTGTTAGCCGTGGAGAAGGCGGGACCATCAGAAAGAAATGGAACTTTAGGTCGCCTCTTCACACATCACTGTCAACACCTGTCCAAATTCTTTCTCTCTCCCTCCCTCTCTCTCTCTCTCTCTCTCTCTCTCTCTCTCTGAATGGGTATGTGAGGGGGTATCTTTTTTCTGAATTCTCGGAGGGCATGTTGCGTCCATCTTTGCCCTTTCTAAAGTGACCAGATGTCCCGCTTTTGGTGGACAGTCCAGATTTTTAACAATTTGTCCCGCGTCCCGCCGCGTTTAAAAAAAAGTCCCGATTTGGGGGGATGGGGGGGAATCGGGACTTTTTAAAAATGCCACGGGACGCGGGACAAATTGTTAAAAATCGGGACATCTGCTTACCTTACCTTTACCCCTAAATACCTGAGTGTATTTGGCGATAATATAACCTCAGTACGTTATCAAGTTCACATTACAGTAATACTTTAATCTACTGTCCCTTTTCCAATTTGTCAAGTAACTTCCTTTGTGGAGTTCCCCCTCCAGTAAAGGGTCCACTCTAGGTGAGGTGTCTGGGACCCTTCTCGAGGAGGGAGAGCTGAGTTGGGCCGTGTGTTTCTGAAGGAGAGCCCAGCACCTCCGCCTCTGTTTGCAGACCTACTGTGATGCATGCATGAAGCCCCCACAACCCAGGGGCTCCGTGGTCTGTCTCCCAGTTTGCCTGGCGTGGCGGGGCAGCCCTGTGTCTGTTCCCATAGCAGCCGCCCTCTTGCAGTCTTAGTAAGCGAGGTCAGAGACACCCCGGTGTCTTCGCTCAGCCGTCACAGGCTGCCCCACAAAAGCGCAGTGCTCCCTGCAGAGCAGGGAGGTGTGGGGAGGAGCGGAGGTGGGTGTTCCCAGGGTTCACCCTGTCTTGAAAGTGCCTTTTTTTTTTAAATCCTGAGACTGAGGCCCGAACTGGTTTGGCTCAGTGGATAGAGCCTCCGCCTGCAGAATGACGGGCCCCAGGTTCGGTTCCGGTCAAGGGCATGTACCTTGGTTGCGGGCACATCCCCAGTAGGAGGTGTGTAGGAGGCAGCTGATGGATGTTTCTCTCTCATCCATCTTCCTAACTCTCTATCCTCCCTTCCTCACTATAAAAAAAAAAAAATAATATATATATATATATATATATATATATATATATATATATATATATTTTTTTTTTTTTTTTTTTTTTTTTTTTTAAATTCTGAGACTGTTGCCGAAACCGGTTTGGCTCAGTGGTAGAGCGTCGGTCTGCGGACTGAAGGGTCCCAGATTCAATTCCGGTCAGGGGCATGTATATTGTTTGCGGGCACATCCCCGGTAGGGGGTGTGCAGGAGGCAGCTGGTCGATGTTTCTCTCTCATTGACGTTTCTAGCTCTCTATCCCTCTCTCCTCCTCTCTGTAAAAAATCAATGAAATATATTTTAAAATAAATAAATTAATTAAAATAAAATAAAATTCTGAGACTGTTGACTCGGCGAGGTCAAATACGACGTCTTGAGCTCCCCCAGCACCTCGCAGAGTGCTGTCTCCCAGGTTCCTCCTGAAGGTCTGCTGAATGAAGGGTGTGGGCCCGTTTCCTCTCCGCTGTCTCTGTCACTCAGATACGGGAGCAGGCAGGGGCATTCTGGTGGGCGGGCTCCGGAGCCCGAAGCCGATGGTGCGTGTGGGCCGTGCGGCACGGGCAGGGGAGGGCCTGGCCGGCTCCGTGTGCTGCCAGGACCGTGCAGTGCGGGGTGTACAATGCGTGTGCTGGTCGCCGGCTGCTCCGGTGTCCGTGCCTGAACCCATGCGGCTCCCCACGGCCCAGGAGACGCCCCAGCTTGTCGTTGAATAGTGCTTGGGAATTTCAGCCTCAGGGCCATATGGCATGGGCTCTGGGACCTGTGTGTCCCCCTGCACCCGCTCAGGAATTCTCAGCAGGAAGTGGGAGAGGGGGATGGGGAGGTCCTTCCTCTTTAATGAAACTATGAGACCGTAAAACTCACCATTTTTAAGTGTAGGCGTCAGTGGGGTTTAGTATTTTCCATGATTGTGCAGCCAATCACCACTCTCTCATGTCCAAGTCGCTTTGTCACCCCAAAAAGAGACCGGGACCCGTTCGCAATCCCTCCCCATTGCCCGTCCCCGGAGCCACTCACCTGCTTCCGTCTCTGAGGCTCTCCCTGTTCTGAATTTTTTATATGCAGTCCGTCAGGGTTTTCGTGCCAGGTACCCGGGGATGTGATCATATGCTCAAGCAATGAAACCACATCTGGTGCATCATCTGAGTGGCTTTTGCCCTCTGACCGATTCACTTAGTGTGTTTCCAAGGCTCATCCATGTTGTAGCATGCATCAGTACTTCGTGTGTTTTTTTTAACTGAATAATATCCCTTTGTATGAATACGCTACCTTTTGTATACCCATTCACCTGTGTGTGGACATTGTTTCTGCCTTTGGACAATTCTGAGTAATGTTACCGTGAACATTGATGTACACGTTTTTTGTAGTCGTACACTTTCATTTCTCTGGGGGGTATCCCTGGAGGTAAAATTGTAGGGTCGTATGGTAGCTATGTTTTCCCTTTTGAGGACCTGCCAGACTGAGCTCCAAGGTGGCTGCACCAGTTGTGCCTCCCACCAGCAGTGTGTGAGAGGGAATGTCCTTTTACCAGACACCTCCTGTGAGCTGGGCCTGAATCCATCACCTGTGCCAGGCCCTCTCCACACCCGGTCTCCCAGGACCCTCACGCCAGCCCTGGGACGTGCCTGTGTCATTTCACTGAGGAAGACCCTGAGGCTCAGAGCAGGGATGTGACTCCGAGGGGTGAGTCCTGGAGTCACACCCGGTTCTGCCCCTTATGTCTCCCTGTCTACTCAGTAATTGCTGACTGAATGAACGACCAGTGGAGGATGCTAAAGTGATCCCTGACCGGTTTGGCTCAGTGGATAGAGCATCCGCCTATGGACCAAAGGGTCCCGAGTTCGATTCCGGTCCAGGGCATGTACCTGGGTTGTGGGCACAGCCCCAGTGGGGGATGTGCAGGAGGCAGCTGATGGATGTTACTCTCTCTCCCTCTCTCTTCCTCTCTGTAAAAGAAATCCATAAAATGTATTTTTAAAAATATATAAAATAAAGTGGAATTAGCCCCCTCTCCCCTCACTCCTCCCGGGCACTGTTTTGCAGACAGGAAAGTTGGACCCCCACTACCCAAAGGTCTGCGGGCACAGAGGGAACGTCTTAGACATCAAGTGGAACCCGTTTGACGACTTTGAAATCGCCTCTGCTTCTGAAGATGCCACGGTGAGTGTCGGCACGTAAGGCTGTTCCCTGACCGAAACGGGTGGGATTGGGGCAGAGGGGGATGGAACTCAGCCCTGATGCTCCTGACTCCTTCGTCCTTCATGAGGTGAGGTTACTGTGTGGGGAGGGGGGTCATTTAGATTTTGACCTTGGGGCATGACCCCTTCTCTCCTTGGGCCTCAGTTTCTCCACCTCTAAAATGGGCATACTAACTCCAACTGCCTAGTGAAGATCCAGTGAGACTCGTGAATTCCATTGGGGAAGTCCCTCTTCTGGGGGAACTCTAAAACACCACGAGAAGCAATTCTATTGTGGCCAGAAAATACCGTGCCACCTACAAACAGTAGTGAAGCAAATTTTAAAAGGATTAGAGTGGGAACCCTATATGAATGTGGACACCAAAACCACCCCATTGCTTCAATCCCACCAACTTTTTTGAGCTCCTGTTCTGTACCAGATACCTATTCCTTGTACCCACAACGTTCAGTGTTATTTATTTATAAGTTTTATTCTAGGCCAATTCTAAAACGTGGTGGGTATAGCTTAAAACAAAAGACACAAATATGATCAGGGGATTCAAGCACGGATACATTTCATAGTTCCCATTTATTGTGGGCCCAATGTGTTCCTCGTTACACATATCATTTCACTCAGTCTTCCCGTCACAGCAGCCTCACAAGGTAGGGCCATTTTCTGATGTATAGAAGCTGAGGATCTTGAGGTACAGCTACAGACCTCAAACTGAGGACTTACTTCTTTTCTCACTGCATGATGCCAGTTCCCTAAAGTGCAGCAGCCACGGAGGGAGGAAGTGAGGAAATAATACTAGAAGCGTTGGCAATGGAGGGTTGTAGGTTTAGCTCAAGAGCTGCCTGGCAGCCAAGGCAAAAAGGGAAATAGAATGTATTGCAGAACCCTCACTGTCTGATCACAGGAAGCACAGCAGTTCGTCAGGACAAGCAGGCAGAAAATTCTAAGTTTCCAGAGGGGATGCTGAGGAACACAAAAGGGGCCCCTTCCGAAGGGCCTGCCCTGTCCTGCTGCGGGGATGGCGTTGGCTGGCTCCCTAGCGCCTGGAAGATTCAGCACAAACCCTTCCTCTGGCCCTTCCAGGCTCCAGCCGGGGCCTTTGAGTCCAGGGCAGGAGGAGACCACTGTACTTCGGGGGATGTTCTGTGCCGGAAGGCAAATTAGCTCTGGCACCCAGCCTGAGAGTCAGGCCCGCGGCCCATCTACCCACCCACGACCTCAGGTCATTAGGATGGCACAGGTTACCAGTGGGGTGCCGATCGGGAGGCCTGGACTCGCCTCTGGTCAACACCGGCCCTGCTTGGGCGGGAGGACCTTGGCGAAGCCCGTCCCTCTGAGGTGCCCCAGCTGCCCCTCCCCGGAGGGAGAGGTGGATACAGAGCCAACGCCCTGCCCCTTCTGCTGGCCATACCCCTTTTGCTGGCCACCGCCAGCCCTTAAAGTGACCCTGGCTAACATCCCCTTGGGCCATGTATCCCCGGCAGATCAAGATCTGGGCCATCCCCAAGCAGCTGCTGTCGAGGAACTTCACGGCCTACCGGAAGGAGCTGGCGGGCCACTCCCGCCGGGTGGGCCTGGTGGAGTGGCACCCCACGGCGGCCAACATCCTCTTCAGCGCCGGCTACGACTACAAGGTCGGTCTGTTTGAGCTCCCTGGGGCTGCCCGAGCGGACGGCCACGCCGAGTGGCCGAGGACACGGAGAGACACTCCCGCACGGTCCCGGAGACTGGCCGTCCTAACGCCAGGCGTGCGGAGGCCTGGCTTCCTCCGGGGGCTCCGAGGAAGAATCCTCTGTGAGTCCTCCCGCTCCCGGTGGCTCCCGGCACGCCTTGGCTTGTGGCCGCATCCCTTCCACCTGCCTGCGTTGCCACATGGCCTCCTTTTCCGTGTGTCTGTGAATTTTCTCTCTTTTTTTTTTTTTGTTTTAATATATTCTATTGATTTTACACAGAGAGGAATTGAAAGAGATAGAGAGTTAGAAACGTTGATGAGAGAGAAACATCGACCAGCTGCCTCTTGCACACCCCTCACTGGGGATGTGCCCGCAACCAAGGTACATGCCCTTGACCGGGAATCGAACCCGGGACCTTTCAGTCCACAGGCCAACGCTCTCACCACTGAGCCAAACCGGTTTGTTTTTCTCTTCTTTTTTATAAGGACACCAGCCAGCCCAGCTGGGGTGGCTCAGTGTTTGAGCATCGACCTATGAACCAGGAGGTCATGGTTCCATTCCTGGTCAGGGCACATGCCTGGGTTTTGGGCTTGCCTCCCAGGAAAGGGTGTGAAGGAAGCAGCGGATCAATGATTCTCTTTCAACATGGATGTTTCTCTCTTTCCCTCTCCCTTCCTCTCTGAAATCAGTAATAATAATTTTTTTTTTTAAAAAAAGGACACCAGCCATTGGATGTAAAGTGACCAGACAAATGGTTAAAAATCGGGATGTCTGGTCACCTTAATGTAGGGCCCACTCAAAGTCAGTATGCCCTCATTAGAACTAATCATATAAGCAAAGGCCTGTTCCAAATAAGGCCACACTCTGAGGCTCCAGGTGGACGTGAGTTTGGGGAGGACACTATTCAACCCCGCAGTCTGCCTGGAGGGGGTGGGCTGGGCCCTGTGGAGGGGGAAACCCATGGTGAGGGCAACTGAGAGGCCATGCCGACCCACCTCTGACTGCAGTGTGAGCCAGGGAAGCCTGTGTCTCCTCCAGCCTCTGTGTCTCCATCTGTACACGGATGGAGTTTGGTGTGACCACAGCTGTGGCTTTTCAACTCTTCCCTTCACAGCTTTCCGGAGGCGGCTGAGGGGCCTCTGTGCGGGGTAAAACGGGAGCCATGGGGAGGGCATCTCCCCCTTCAGGCCAGAAATGCTAGGTGGGGTGTGTGTGCAGGGACTGCTTGGGGTTGTGCAGGTTCTTCTGCACACAACGCCAGGGGGCGCTGTTCCCATCGCAGGCTACGGGGATGGATTGCCCTGGAGCTGTGTGCAGTGCAGCCACCCTGCTCTCAGAGCCCGCACAGCCAGACACGGCTGTTTGTCTGTGCGAAGTGGGAACTGCAGTATGAAACCCCTGGACTAGCTGGTCCCCCATGTTCCCTTTTTTTTTTTTTTTTTTAATATATTTTATTGATTTTCCACAGAGAGAAAGGGAGAGGGATAGAGACCTAGAAACGTTGATGAGAGAGAAACATCGACCAGCTGCCTCCTGCACACCCCCTATCAGGGATGTGCCCGCAACCAATGTACATGCCCTTGACCAGAATCGAACCTGGGACCTTTCAGTCCGCAGACCGACGCTCTATCCACTGAGCCAAACCGGTTTGGGCCCCCCAGGTTCTCTTAGCGTGGATGTCTCATTGCTCCCAGGCAGAGGTAGATGGTATTTTTTTTTCTTCACGGCCAAGACAGCCTGACTCCCGGCTCTGCCCTCCCACCACGTGGCAGCTTCAAGCCGGCAGATCCACCCTCCCAGCGCAGGCCTCTGGGCCAGACTGCCATCTGTGGCTTCCCCCCGGGGGATACCGTGTTTCACTCCAGCCCGGCCGGCGTGTGACTGCGGGGAGGCTGCGGCGCTCAGCGCCGGCTCTTTGCCGTGCAGGTGATGGTCTGGAACCTGGACACAAAGGAGTCTGTAATCGCGAGCCCCGTGAAGACAATCGACTGCCACCAAGACGTGATCCTCTCCATGTCCTTCAACACCAACGGCAGCCTGCTGGCCACCACCTGCAAAGACCGCAAGATCCGGGTCCTGGACGCCCGAGCGGGGACCGTCCTCCAGGTCAGTGCTAGGCTGGAGGCCCGCGTGGGGTCCGAGGCGCAAGGGGTGGAGCGGAGAGGGTGGAGGCTTCTGAGAACAGGGCAGTCATGCTGTTTATTACCGTAATGTAAGTTCTGCCCAAGCCTTCCCATTTTTCAGGTGGGAAAACTGAGGCTGAAGAGAGGCTCAGCGACATGCCCACATAGAAAGCTAGTATTGAGCCCGGCCTCACACCCAAACTTGTCAGTGTGCCTCAGCTCTGTCCAGGGGCATGACATGGGTCGGAGGCCTCAGGGTACCGCCGCTGACCCACTGTGAGACATGGCCTTAGGCAAGCCCTCGTAGGTGGCCAAGCCCGTGTTTCCTCCTCTGCAAGAACGGGCTGTTCCTCTCTCCCCTCCGAGCAGTAGACCAGACAGCCCAGCCCCGAGCTTTGCATACAGTGGGTGCTCTGTAATCTCCCCACGAGAGCATGGAACTGGGCAAACATTCGCCGCCTGCGGCTCAGACACATAGCCCTGGAGGTTCTCCGGGCAGAGCGGGGTGAGGAGGGCAGGCATTCCAGGTGGAGCAGCAGCGTAAGCAGAGGCCAGGGCGTCCCTGACGGCACCTGTCCCTCCAGGAAGCCAGCTACAAGGGGCACCGGGCCAACAAGGTGCTGTTCCTGGGGAACCTGAAGAAGCTGCTGTCCACAGGCACCTCCCGCTGGAACAACCGGCAGATCGCCCTGTGGGACCAGGTGAGCCCCACGCAGCGCCACCGACCGGCATCACCGCGCCTTCGCCGAGTTCTGGCTTCATTCCCTCACTCACTCACTCACTCATTCACTCACTCACTCACTCACTCACTCCTCATTCACTCATTCATTCACACACTCACTCACTCACTCACTCATTCACTCATTCACTCACTCATTCACTCACTCATTCATTCACTCACTCATTCACTCATTCACACTCATTCACTCACTCATTCACTCACTCACTCACTCATTCACTCACTCACTCACTCACTCATTCACTCATTCATTCATTCACTCACTCACTCACTCCTCATTCACTCATTCATTCACTCACTCCTCACTCATTCACTCATTCACTCACTCACTCATTCACTCACTCACTCACTCATTCATTCACTCACTCACTCATTCACTCATTCACTCATTCACACTCATTCACTCACTCATTCACTCACTCACTCACTCATTCATTCACTCACTCATTCACTCATTCACACTCATTCACTCACTCACTCACTCCTCATTCACTCATTCATTCACTCACTCCTCACTCATTCACTCACTCACTCACTCCTCATTCACTCATTCATTCACACACTCACTCACTCACTCACTCATTCACTCATTCACTCACTCATTCACTCACTCATTCATTCACTCACTCATTCACTCATTCACACTCATTCACTCACTCATTCACTCACTCACTCACTCATTCACTCACTCACTCACTCACTCATTCACTCATTCATTCATTCACTCACTCACTCACTCCTCATTCACTCATTCATTCACTCACTCCTCACTCATTCACTCATTCACTCACTCACTCATTCACTCACTCACTCACTCATTCATTCACTCACTCACTCATTCACACACTCACTCACTCACTCACTCATTCACTCATTCACTCACTCATTCACTCACTCATTCATTCACTCACTCATTCACTCATTCACACTCATTCACTCACTCATTCACTCACTCACTCACTCATTCACTCACTCACTCACTCACTCATTCACTCATTCATTCATTCACTCACTCACTCACTCCTCATTCACTCATTCATTCACTCACTCCTCACTCATTCACTCATTCACTCACTCACTCATTCACTCACTCACTCACTCATTCATTCACTCACTCACTCATTCACTCATTCACTCATTCACACTCATTCACTCACTCATTCACTCACTCACTCACTCCTCACTCACTCATTCACTCACTCATTCACTCATTCACTCATTCACTCACTCATTCACTCATTCATTCACTCACTCACTCACTCACTCACTCATTCACTCACTCACTCACTCCTCACTCATTCATTCACTCACTCACTCATTCACTCACTCACTCCTCACTCACTCATTCATTCACTCATTCACTCACTCATTCCCTCACTCACTCATTCACTCAGTCACTCATTCACTCATTCACTCACTCATTCACTCACTCCTCACTCACTCATTCACTCACTCACTCCTCACTCACTCATTCACTCACTCAATCACTCACTCATTCACTCACTCATTCCTCACTCACTCATTCATTCACTCACTCATTCACTCACTCACTCATTCACTCACTCACTCATTCACTCATTGATCGAATGTACTGATGAATATCAGGAAGATGCCAACAGCCTGGAGGCACAAGCCCAGACCTTGTGCATCCTGTCGTTCAAAGAGGGAGACTGGTCAGGACAGAAGATGGGGGGGAACACGTGGCCGAGGCTGGACCAGGACTGGGTGGAAGGGAGGAGAGGGCCTCTGGGCAGAAGGAACAGCTGGAGCAGAGCTTGGGACAAAGGACTGAAGCAATTGGGCAGGAGGAGCTGCATGTTCGGGGCAGGGGTGCAGCAGGGAGGGCGAGGGGGCGGGGGTGGTGCAGGCAGGTCAAGCAGTGTTGATTCAAGGAGCACTTGGCCAGAGTTTCAAAGACCAGATATTAATAGATCACTTCCTTCTCTCTGTTTTAAAGACCACCACTCCAACACACAAGATGGCCGCCCCCATGTGGACACAAGATGGCCAGCAGGGGAGGGCAGTTGTGGGGAGCAGGCCTGGAGGGGAGTGCAGTTGTAAGCAATCAGGCCAGCAGGGGAGAGCAGTTAGGGGCAATTGGGCCAGCAGTGGAGCAGTTAGGCATCGATCAGGCTGGCAGGGGAGTGGTTAGGGGACAGTCAGGCAGGCAGGCAGGTGAGCGGTTGGGAGCCAGCAGTCCTAGACTATGAGAGGGATGTCTGACTGCAGGGAACAAGCCTAAACAGGCAGTCAGACATCCCTCAAGGGGTCCCAGATTGGAGAGGGTGCAGGCTGGGCTGAGGGATACATATCTCCCACCCCCGTGCCCTAATTTCCTGCCCTGGGCCTCTAGTGAGAATAAATAACAAAACAGGTGGTGGAAGGCTAGAGTGAGATCAGGTGTGTGAGAAGTCATTCATTACAGGCAAAGTGCTGCAAAATGCAAGGTGGTGGACTCTCTCACACACCTGCACTTACATACACACTCAATCTCTCTCAACACTCACACACACACACTCAGTCTCTCTCACATACTCAGTCTCTCTCACATCCACACAGGTCTCTCTCTCTCTCTCTCTCTCTCTCTCACACACACACACACACTCACACACACACACACACTCAGTCTCTCTCACATCCACACAAATCTCTCTCTCTCACATACACACACACACACACACACACGCACACGCACACGCACACGCACACCCAGAGCCCCGTGGCAGGGATTCTTAGCTTAGAGAGCACCTCCGAGGACCCCAGGAGTGACCCGCAGGCGTCCTGGCCCTTCCCTTGCAGGACAACCTCTCTGCACCGCTCACCGAGGAGGACCTGGACGGCTCCTCGGGCGTGCTGTTCCCCTTCTACGACGCGGACACCAGCATGCTCTACGTGGTGGGCAAGGTCAGTCTGGCCCGGAGGAAGGCGGCCTCAGGGAATCCAGAGGCAGGAGGCAGAACCACCCTCAGCCCAGCCCTGCGGTGGCCAGACAGCCGCCCGGGGCCCTTGGGGTGCGAGGCAGGGGCAGGGACAGGGAAGCTGACCACTCACTCGTCTGCTGTGGGGAGCCCAGCCCTTTCTCCCACCTTCCCGGCTCCCGAGAGCGTCTGGGCCCAGGGCTTCAGCTGAACACCCTGCATTGGTTTCCCTCCCCCAACTCTGGGTCCAGAGGAGGCGGGAGCAGTGGGTGTGTCTCACCAGGGGCACCTTCACATTGGGGGCAGACCAGGTCTTCGTTGGGTAGGACGACCATCTGTCTCTGGCAACCCTGGCCCTACCCACCCCAACAGTACCCACCCCAACCGTACCCCCCTGACCATACCCCCCTGACTGTACCCCCCGACCGTACCCACCCTGACTGTACCCCCCTGACCATACCCACCCCGATCATACCCCCCCGATCGTACCCACCCTGACTGTACCCCCCAACAGTACCCTCCCGACCGTACCCCCCCGACCGTACCCCCCCGACCGTACACCCCTGGCCGTGCCCCCCTACCGTACCCACCCCAACTGTACCCCCCCTGGCCCTACCCACCCTGACCGTACCCACCCCGACCGTACCCACCCTGACTGTACCCCCGACCGTACCCCCCTGACCGTACCCACCCTGACTGTACCCCCTGACCGTACCCACCCTGACCGTACCCACCCCGACCGTACCCACCCCGACCGTACCCCCTGACCATACCCACCCCGACCGTACCCCCCCTCCCGACCGTACCCACCCCTACCGTACCCCCCTGACTGTACCCCCCCTGACCGTACCCACCCCGATCATACCCCCCCCATCATACCCACCCCGATCATACCCTTCCCGATCGTACCCACCCCGACCGTACCCCCCCGACCGTACCCCCCCCCGACCTTACCCCCCCGACCATACCCCCCCTGACCGTGCCCCCCTACCGTACCCACCCCAACTGTACCCCCCCGGCCCTACCCACCCTGACCGTACCCACCCTGGCCATACTCCCCTGACCGAACCCACCCCGACCGTACCCCCCTGGCCGTACTCCCCTGGCCGTGCCCCTCCGTGCCAGCAGCAGCATCCCCCTGCCCCGCCCGGGCACTGTGACAGGCTGGTCTCAGGACACACCACTCTGGCCCTTGGGTGCAGCTCTTAGACAGGGGTGGGGATCCAGCCTGTGCCCCCAGAGCTTCAGCCTCGGAGCCACCCCGGTGGGCATTGGCTCCTGGTTGGGGGGACAGAGTGTTAAAACGGGGCCCCTCCTGCTGCCTTGGTGACAGTCCCTGGCGTTCCCTGTGTGAGTGGCTCTGCCAACTCCTTACCTGCTGTGAGCGCCGGTTCCTGCTGCGCGGCGGTGGGGCAGGCGGGGTGCTGGCCCCGGCTCTGAACACCCTCCTCCTCCTCCTCCGCAGGGAGACGGGAACATCCGCTACTATGAGGTGAGCGCCGACAAGCCCCACCTGAGCTACCTGACGGAGTACCGCTCCTACCACCCGCAGAAGGGGATCGGTGAGCGCGGGCGCCGAGGCCGGGGCCGGGGACAGGGCTGAGTCAGGCTCCGGCCCCCCTGGAGGGGCCCCCATTCGGGAGGGGACATGGTGGTGGACAGTCTGGCTCGTGGGAGCCCCGGTCAAGGTGTGCAGGAGGGTCCTCTGGGCGGCTTCCTGAACGAGGCCACATCTGGGGATCGGGGAGAGGAGGCAGGGCACAGCCCGGGAGAGAGCGGAGGTGTCCTGGGCCGGGTGACGCAGTTACACAGCGGCACGAAGATGGGAGCCGCTGACCTCCGAGAGCCGCTGCTTTTCCCGTGACTTTGGGGATAAAAGAACAAGACACCGCTACCCGCTGTGCACTTGGAATGCACTTGAACATGAAGACACAGCTAGATTACGAGGAAAGGGATGGGGAAAGGGATGCCATGCGAACAGTAAGCAAAAGAAGCCGGCACACTCTGTCAGCGGCGTCTGGGGGGGCAGGAGCTGGGGGGGTGGCGAGGCAGGGCCTGGAGCAGAGCACACTTCCTGCGGAAGTCGAGCTAAAATCATGTAAATTCTTGACGGTGGGACCAGGGTCTGAGGGTTTCAGCCCCATTTCCCCAGCGCAGGGCCTGGCCCAGCGGAGGTGTTCCTGCACGAACTGTTTGTTGACGGGAAGAATGGGGGAGGAGGTGGTGTCTGTTCACATCCCGGGGTGCAGCCTGGCTTTGCCACGTACACCGGCCCCTGTGGCCCCAGCCCAGCGGCACCGCATGGCCCTAACTGACCATCTGCCCGCAGGTTTTATGCCAAAGAGAGGTCTCGATGTGTCCACCTGTGAGATCTTCCGCTTCTACAAGCTGATCACAACCAAAAGCCTCATCGAGCCGATCTCCATGATTGTCCCCCGGCGGGTAAGAGTGGTGGGGGGGTCTGCGGGGAGGCGGGAACCCTTCCCAAGAAGACTAACCCCCGGAGCCTGGAGCCCACGCCCGAGGCAGCAACAGGGAGGCTGGTGGCCACTTCCTTGAGGGGCAGGCCTTTCCGTGGCCAGGGAGGCGTCCTGGGAGCGAGGAGTCCTGGCTCTTTTCTCGCCTCTGCTCTGGAGTTGCTGTGTGATGGCCTTGGGCAGGACCCTTTGCTCTCAGGCCTTGGCTTTCTCAACTCACAGGGTTGGGGAGGACCTGGACCCGGGCTCTCTGAGGGCCCTCCTGTGGGCAGCCTCCCCACCACCCCTCCTCTCACCGTCCTGACTTCTCCTGCAGTCGGAATCCTACCAAGAGGACATCTACCCGCCCACGGCAGGGGCCCAGCCCTCTCTGACGGCCACGGAGTGGCTCAGCGGGATGGATAAAGGTGAGGAAAGCCCAGGAGAGGCCTCGGGCGGGCGAACGTGGGGGGAAATGGCATGTGCTAAGGTCCAGATGGCTGAGAGGGGTTCGGACCGTATTTGCATTCTCCTTCACCATCAGTCCCCAGCCTCTGGGACTGTCGGATAGGGTCCAGGAAGGGCTCAGAACATTCCTCCAAGTCAAGGGATTTTGCTCCATGGAAAGCTACTGAGCCGAAACCGGTTTGGCTCAGTGGATAGAGCGTCGGCCTGCAGACTGAAAGGTCCCAGGTTTGATTCCGGTCAAAGGCATGTACCTTGGTTGCAGGCACATCCCCAGTAGGGGTTGTGCAAGAGGCAGCTGATCGATGATTCTCTCTCATCGATGTTTCTAACTCTCTATCCCTCTCTCTGTAAAAAAAAAAAAAAAAAAAAAAAAAAAAAATCAATCAAATATATTTAAAAAGAAAACTACTGAGCTCTGGGCTGTGCAGAGTGACGGGGTCGTCTCAGCTGGACCCTTTGCCCAGCCTCCCACCTGCCCCTCCACAATCACTCCAGAGGCCCTGGGGTGCCCTCCGCCTGCCTGTCCTGTCAACGTGAAGCCAGCCCAGGGAAGGCCGTGGGTGCTCCCCACTCCCACCCCAGCTGCTGCCTCTGCGATTGGGATCTTTCTCTTTCACCCCACCCCCCCAACCCCACTTTTGTGTAACCCGTAGACAGTCTCCCTCCTCCCTGGGCCTCAGTTTCCTCCCCCTCCTCTGTGAGCCTGCCTCCCCTGGTACCCAGCGTGCCGGGGGGAGTTTGTGAACGGATGGATGGCAGGGCCGGGTGGTGGGACTGTCCCTGCAAAGCAAGGGCATCGCTTCCCTGCGGAGCTTGGGGGCTGGGCCGCTCCAGGGGCCGCTCCAGGGCACGCCCCCTGCTGCTCCGCCAGCCAGGCCTCCTCAGGTGGCCACACGCGCGGGACCCCGATTGGCGCTCTGGGTGCCCTGGCCCGTCTGCATGTGGCCGGAGCTCCCATACCTTTTGCGTGTCTGTGTGTCTGCTGTGCACGCCTGCTTGTGCCAGTGCCCCCACGCCCATATGGGCACTCAGCCCTCACACAGCCTTTGCTTCCCTCCCAGGGCCTGTCCTGGTGTCCCTTCGGCCCGGCTCCGAGCTGCTGAGCCCTCGGTCTCTGCCCCCGGAAAGACCTCTCTCCAACTCCCTGCCCCCTGCCTCGCCCCACCTCCTGGACCAGACGGCAGTGCTGGCTGCAGCCGATGACCGGAGGCCCTTCTCTCTGCCCGAGGAGAAGGCGCCACGGTGGACGGCAGGACACAGGCTGGAGGAGAAGAAAGCGTGGCTCACGAACGGCTTTGACATCTTTGAATGCCCCCCACCAAAGACGGAGAACGAGGTGGGAATGGGGGTGGAGGTGCCTGCACTGGGAGGGAGAGGGGTGGAGAAGGGGGCAGAGAAATGATGGGTGAGACAGATAACCAGCTGTGTGGCCTGGCTAGCTACTTGCTGGTAATTCGCTTTAATTCACTCGGCAAACAGGCAGGGAGCACCAGTGTATGCCCTGGTGGTGGCGGAGAGGGTGGAGAGCCGTCTGTAAAGTGATGAGGTTTTGGCTTCGTGGGTATTAGCTTTATTTGTGCTTTCAGAGCCAGCATCTGTTAAGTGCCAGCTGTGTGCCAGGGCCCGCGGTGGGCACTGATGTGTCATCACCTGTGTGCATTCTCTCAGCAGCCCTGGGAGTCAGTGGCTAGTGGCTAAAACTCAAGGGCTGCCGTCTCACGGAGGGTGCTCGCCCTAGCCCTCCTGAGCATGACCTGCAGGACGCTGGCCCCAGGGGCCGCGTCTCCCTTAGCTTCAGTTTCCAGAGCGGTGAAGTGGGGGCAGTGACACCCCGACCCTCACAGGGCCGTTGTGAGCAGATAACGAAGATCCTTACACTTAGGGGGAGCACCCAACACCTGGTACAGCAGCTGTGATAATGCACATGTTAGTGTTCTGACCCCCGTTTCCCAGAGCAGGAAGTGAAAGCTCAGAGAGGGTGAGTAACTTGCCTCAAGTCACACAGTTTAGTGGTGGTGAAAACTCCAATCTCCGGACATCAGGGCCAGGCATCCTTTCCTCCATCCCATGGGGCCAGTGGTCGGCAAACTCATTAGTCAACGGAGCCAAATATCAACAGTGCAACGATAGAAATTTCTTTGGAGAGCCACACGTCTTAAACTTAAACTTCTTCTAACGCCACTTCTTCAAAATAGACTTTCCCAGGCCGTGGTATTTTGTGAAAGAGCCACACTCAAGGAGCCAAAGAGCCGCGTGTGGCTCACCAGCCGCAGTTTGCCGACCACTGCCATGGGAGAATCTAAGGAGGGGGGAAAAAAGAAACACACACACACAAAAGAAACACAAAAAAAAGAAACACAACAACACACAAACAAGTCTGAAACGTCATCTTTTAATTTCATTTACTAGGTGAAGGAAACAAGTTTTTTGTTAGGCCTCAGCCACGTTAATATAATCATCTCTACCTTTCTGAGCCCTTTCTGTGGGGGTCCTGCCCCCTCAAGTCCCAGGGCACTGACCTCACCTTCCCCTCCGTTCTGTGCTCTCCCAGCTGCTGCAGATGTTCTACCGGCAGCAGGAGGAGATCCGGAGGCTCCGGGAGCTGGTGACCCAGCGCGAGGTCCAGGCCAAGCAGCTGGAACTGGAGATCAAAAACTTGCGGATGAGCTCGGAATGGTCCTGAGCAGAGGCCTGGGCCCTCCTCGCCCTCAGGGACACCACTTGGCTCCACGGGGAGGGCCAGGACCAAACCACAAGTCCCCTGAGAACAGCCGCTATTTCTACGTGTTTTTTTTTTTTAACCGGAAAATGAAACTCGGTCGCCGCAGGTTTCCAGGGGAACATGGTGCCGTTTTCTACTTGCCTTCTCGAAACAACGGTGTCTGAATTGACTCTTTTTAGGGGATGCCTCGCCTCCTGTTTGACTTTTCTGTCAGGTGCGTGATGAGCTCTAACTTTGTAGAAATTTAGAGCGACCAGGACCTAGCAGGCACACCTCTGCCTATGGTTTTCAAACTGTGGTCTGTAGAACTGGGGCAGGCTAAGCAGAAGGCTGTACCGCTCACCCCCGCACCTGACGGGACAGCTCTCCTTTCTGTCTTACGTTATGTGGTCTTTGAGGGAATACACAATTCTGCGACTCCAAAAAATTCACAAGTTTGAAAGCCCACCTTTCTCATTGTACAAGTGGGGAAGCTAAGGCCCAGAGAGAGGCTGGTGATGCGGGTCCCTAGAGAGTTCGTGGCTGGGCTGGGCCTCTGCTCTCCTGGGCCTGTCTGTGTGCCTGTCTGTGTGCCTGTCTGTTTCTGCTCTGACACCGTTCTCAGCCCACAGAGCAGGAACCCGTTGGTTCTGGCCCGGGCGGCACCTCAGTGGCCTCACGTCATTCCCTTCCCCGGTCTCAGTTTCTCCATCTGAACAAGGAGGCCCTGGGATCTACCCCCGGAGACAAGGAACGTTGGCCGTGGCCTAAGGGAAATCACCGGTAGGTGAGCTGATTTTGCTGTGGGGACTCACAAGACATTGGCAGAGGTGAAGGGGGAGGTTAGCTTCAGGGAAAGAAGTCAAGGTGCAGCCCAGTTCTAGAATACAGAGAGGAGGACAACCATCCTCTCTTCAGCCAGGATCAGCCCGGGTGGCTAGACACTCCCTGGTGTAGGATACGAGCCTCAGGGCATTGCTCAGATCCTACCGCCACCAAAGCCCTCAGGTCACAGCGCCTGCCTCTGCCAGGATGACGTGGGCAGGTGTATGTTCAAGGTAACAGAAGAGGCTCCCGGGACGTAGGGAGCCCAGTGCTGACAGTTTGCCCGCAGCACCCCCTGGCCGCCCAGCCCTGAGGGCTTATGGAGGATGATGACGATACGAGGCAAGGAAGTAACCACATGGCCCTAAAGTTCCCTTCCAACCTGTGCTTTTTCTGTCCCTCCTTTGTGAATCTGTGTTCTGAGCGCCTCGCTGAGGTTCTCTCTTTCTTGGTGGTCAATACAGCAGCTCAGCTAGAGACACCTGTGCCTCCTGACCGAGGACGCTTGCCCCTCCCACAGGGTCGTGCTGCTGGAGGTAGGATGGCGTCTGCAGGAGGCCCCCTGGCCTGGGAGGCGTCAGCCCAGGCTGCCCATTAGAATCCCTTTGGGAGCATTCAGGAAATACGAATGGCCAGGCCCAACCCCGGACCAATCGAAGCTCAATCAGCAGAGTAGGGCCTGGCCTGGTGTAGGCTTTCATAAGTTCCCGTGGCCTTCTGCAATACCTGGGGTGGAGACCGCTCGGGCTAATCCTTCTGTAGCTGTCGACACTAAAGATGAGGACAAGGAGCACCAGGCAGGTGCTGGGACTCCAACTCTGTCCAAGTTCTCTGAGGCTAAAAGCAGGAAGCATGGTTCTGAGCCCTCCACCAGGTCTCTGCCCCCCGACCCTGTCCCCACAGGATGGGGGCTCTGATTGCGCCCTCCCTTAGCCATGGCTGAGTTCCCGTGTCTGCTGCACATTCCAGACACCTTGGCTGCTTGTCTCGTCCACCATTGACTCAGCCGCCGGGGCCCGCCACGCTTGCCAAAGACCAAATCCTTGGTGTTGTCTGGAAAGCAGAGTTCTGGATGGGGTCATCTCTCCCGCCTCATCCGGGGCCAGCACGTCACGGTGTACAAAGCCTCCAGCCTCCCTCCACGCACTTGCACGTCTTACTCTAACGCGGGTCAGGCAGGCACGTTTACCCCCACGTTCAGGAGGGAAGATTAGCCTTCAAGAATAAGGAAACGTTCGTGCCGATAGGCACTGGCTACCACGTGGTGGAGGTGGGGCTGAGTCTGGGGCGCTTCCTGAATGTCAAGCAGACTCTCTCCACCAAAAAAGGGGCCCAGACCTCACCCTGCAAAACAATGCAAAGGCAGCATGAACAAACGGTTTCTTTCCTTTTCTTTTTTTTTCTTTTTTTACATCTAGAGTAAATTATTTAAATTATTTCACAGCAAGGGAGCGGGATAGGTAATTTTTATCAGATATTTTTTTAAAGCCATTTTTTAAAAATTACTTTTTTGTTGATGTTCTTGACGGGTGACGTGGGACTTGCCCAGGACTTGCAGGGCCAGTCCCCTGTGCTCAGGGCCACGGAATGTGCACTGGTCTTTCCCCTCCAGGCCCTGGGCGCCCGACTGCTGACTCAGGAACTTCCCGAGGACGAAGACAGCCCTGGGAGATGGGCATTAGCATCTCCACCTTAGCGCTACAGTAATTGCTCTTCCTGGGACAAAACTTGAGTATCCTAGAGGGACGCCGGAAGTCAGAAATTGATCTGTGCTTTTCCTATGAAACTGTGCCTGGACAGTTCGATTGTTTTAATGTTGTTCATGAAATTCCTTGTACCTTTGTAAAAAAAAAATTAATTATGATAATAAAAGTGAAAAATAGATGTGGAATCGTGCTATGGAAAGAATATAACAAAATAAACAGTATCTGCCTACACATTTTAATCCATGGAACCTTTCTTTTCTTGATTTTGTTCCACCAATAACCACCAAGCACCTGCTTTTCCAGGCTGGGAAACAGGGAAAGCAGAATTTGTCCCTGCCCTCTGAAGGTTTAAATCATGGTTGGAGAGAGGGAGGGCCGGAATAGGGGAAATGGCGGCTGCTTCAGGAGGAGAAGCAAAGAAGGCTTCCTGGAAACAGGTGCTATTTGGGCAGAAACCTGAAGGGTAAATAGGAATAAGCAGGGCAGTGAGCATTTGGGGGAACAAGCCAAAATTAGAGCACAGACAGGGCAGAGATCAAGGGTATTAAAAGTCGAGGGCCTCACCATGCAGAGAAGGGTCTCTGGTTTGATTCCTGGTTAAGGGCATGTGCCTGGGTTGCAGGTTTGATCCCCATGACTGGAGCCACGTGAGGGAGGCAACCAATCAATACATCTCTCTTACATGATTTTTCTCTTCCACTCCCTGCCTCCCTTCCACTCTCTCTAAAAATCAATGGGGAAAATATCCTTGGTTGAGGATAAAAAAAATAAAATAAAATAAATTTTTAAAAAAGCCAAGGGCCTTATAGATGAGAGCTGCCCCCTTCCCCAGCTTTATTGAGGTATGATTGATAAAAACTGTACGTACTTAGGTTGCATGTGTTTTTTTTAAGTTTCACAATGTGATGGTTTAATATATCCATACACTGTGATATGATCATCACAATTAATTACTTTATTTTTTTTAGATTCCACATATACACTGAGTGGCCAGATTATTATGATCTTTGAACACATAGTAATCTGGCCACTGTGTGTGTGTGTGTGTGTGTGTGTGTGTGTGTGTATTTTAAAGGCCCGGTGCATTAATTCATGCATGGGTGGGGTCCAGCCAGCTTGGCCAGGGGAAGGGGACATGGGCGGTTGGCCTGCCTGCTTGCTGGTCGAACTCCTGGTCAAGGGGATAATTTGCATATTAGCCTTTTATTATATAGGATCTACACTGAGTGGCCAGATTATTATGCGTTCAGAGATCATCATAATCTGGCCACTCAGTATAAGAGATACCATCTAGGTCTTTGTCTGGCTTCCTTTGCTTGTTATAATGACTTCCAGGCTCATCCATGGTGTAAGTGGCAGGACTTCTGTTCTGCAGTCTGAGTAACATTTCACTGTATATGCTTGTGCCACATCTCCTTTATCCACTCATCCCATTGAGGCACTTCCGTTGTCTCTATATCTCCTGGCTATTGTGACTGCAGCTGTCATGAACACGGAGTGCAGCTATCTCTTCAACACACTGCAGTGGGATTGCTGGGTCACGGGAGTTCTGTTTTTAATTTTTGGAGGAACCTCCGCACTGTTTTCCACAGTGGCTGTACCCATTTACTAGTACTTTCCATTGAGGCTGAGACCTTAACCTGGGGCAACTGGAGTTTCCAGGGTGTTTCATAAAACTCTGGGAGTGGCTATTTCTCCTGGGGAAATGGCGAGAGGGACTCAAGGGGAAGTGGGAAGTGCAGGTAAATGCACACCACTCCGGGAGGCCACGGCTAACTTGGTGCCATCGACAAGGGCTAGGCTAGCCTGGCTAAAGTGTGGGGAAGTCCACCCCCTTCCAGTTAGCCCAATGGGAGTATGAACATAAAGGGAACCTTCATTTAAAATGGAGTCGGGAGACCAGAAGAGGGACCTCTCAGGCACTACCCCTCTAAGTCAACCCAGACCCCAAAGGGAAGAATTGTCATGCAAGGGGTTACTCCCTTACTCCTCCCTCGGAGGAAGATTTCCTTCCCGCCCAGCAAATCAGCCAATGAGACACTGTCAGCGCCCTGAACCCCACTTTCCTCTCATGGGCTTTTCTCCTCAGCGACCCCTCCCATTGTCCTCCTGGCCGGACTTGCCTATGGTTTTTGCAACAGCTTGCTTGTCCCGGATTGCAATTCCTCTGCTATTCCCCATTTTGCTGGGAAAACAACCGGTTGTTTTAATTTTTAAAAATACATAGTTTATTGATTTTTTTTTTTTTTTTTTTACAGAGAGGAAGAGAGGGGAGTAGATAGAAACATCGATGGGAGAGAAACATCAATCCGCTGCCTCCTGCACACCTCCCCCGGGGATGTGCATGCAACCCAGGTGCATGCCCTTGACTGGAATCAAACTTGGGACCCTTGAGTCTGCAGGCTGACGTTCTATCCAAGGAGCCAAACCGGCCAGGATCGGTTGCTTTATTTTTAAAGTATGTAAGGTGTTGCAGGAGCGGACCCCCATTTCTGCCGCGGCCACCCCCTCCAGGCCAGGCACAGAGCCGCTAGCCCAGGCCTGAGCCTCCTGCGCCGCCGGCTACAGACCGCGGGGGCGGGCGGGCGCCCTGCGGGTCAGGAGGAGGTGAAGATGCAAACCGGGTCCCTCCACCCCGCCCCCGGCCGCGGCCGCTGCCATCTCCCATCCCCGCGCGGGGCCGGCCGACCCGGGCCCCGCCCCGCCGTCCGCTTTCGATTCCCCGCCAGCGCTGCTCCCGCTCCGGCGACGCCGCACCGACCGCGGGAGTGCATGGCGGGCGCGGGGGCCCCGCACCGCCCCCCGGGGGCCCCGGGCGCCGCCGAGGCGGAGGACGCGTGCGGCTGGCGCTGCCCCGAGCACGGCGACCGCGTGGCCGAGCTCTTCTGCCGCCGCTGCGGGCGCTGCGTGTGCGCGCTCTGCCCGCTGCTGGGCGCGCACCGCGGCCACCCGGTGGGCCTGGCCCGCGAGGAGGCGGCGCGCGTGCAGGTGGGGGCGCGCGTGCAGGCGGGGGCGCGCGTGCAGGCGGGGGCGCGGGGGCGCGGGGGCGCGGGGGCGCGGGGGCGCGGGGGCGCGGGGGCGCGGGGGCGCGGGGGCGCGGGGGCGCGGGGTCCCCTTGCCAAGGCCGGGGAAGAACCCGGAAACCCCAAGGCAACCAGGCAGCCGACCTGGCTATTGTTCCTGATGAGAGCGTATGGCCACGTCCGGGCAAAGCCAAGGCCACCTGCCAACCTGCAGGCAGGACAGGCGGGTTTGGGATGAGGACGCGGAAGCCTCGGCTGTTTCCCATATGGACCTCGTCCGCCAGGGCGCAGCCGCCACACTGCTCTGGGGCCAGGAGGAAACCTGCCTTTTGTAACTAAAGTAAAATCCCTTTCTATTGGAAAACAGCCTGGTAGCCTGGGACGCTAGGTAACTCCCTCCGGTTTTGTCTCCGGGAGCTCACAGAGAGGGGCGTGGACTGCCTGCCTGTCTGCGCTATAGGAGCATCCTCTACCTACCCCGCCCCCCTTCCCTCCCCACACCCACCCCAGTACCACAAGCGTAACTGGTGGGAGCTGGGACGGCCATTTTATCGATAAGAAAGCTCTGGAGGCAGAGGCAGGTCTTGAACCCAGGAATCCATGCGGTGGACTGCCCCCACGGGGTCCATTCTCACCTGGGAGCCCTCTCCCCCGTGTTTAATTCTAAAAGTGGCAGGGGCTCTGAACTCTTGTGGCCCACGTGAGGTGGGCAGCCCCTAGTAATTGTTTGGCTCAGCAAAGACTTCTAGGTCACCCTCTGGCCTGGATGGGGGAGCCAGGAAGGGAGCAGGCCTGCCCTCGGGAAGCTCCCGTGGGGCCCAACAGTGGAGCAAAAGGCCGGCCGAATGGGGAGGGGGTGGGGTAAAGTCCCACTGGTGGGGAAAGGGCCACAGAGCAGCCTTTGGAAAAGTGGCTAATGCAAAAAGCAGAGGTAGGGAAGGGAGCCGTTTCAGGTGGGAGGGAGAGGGGAGCACGAACCCCACAGATCTCTCACGCATTCAATCTTCTGAACCCCAGTCCAGGCCAGAGGGCCACAGGCCCCTCTGGAATGCACGTCCGACAAGGGCAGCTCCCAGAACAAGGCCCAGCATGTAGTAGGCGCCCAGTTAATATTTATTGTGTAAGTGAATTCTCTTCCCCTGTCCCCAGGCTGCTTAAAATTAACCCATGAATAAGTTAAAATCAATAGGTTTCAAGATCCTACTTGAGGGACTGGAAAATCAGGTCACCAGCAGGTTTGTCCTAGAAAGAGGGGGGAAGGCATCATGGTTTGAAGGATCCCTGAGGACCAGAGTGACCCTCCATCACAGCTCACCCTCTAACTTGCTACTTGACTTTGGGCAGGGGTGAGAGGAGATGACCCCTGCAGAGCCTTGTTGTCGTGAAAGTGACCGTATTAAGCCTTTTTCCCTGATTCCTTCGCCTACAGAAACTCACGCAACAATATTTAAGGCAGCTGGCAACCAAGAAGCAGCAGCAAGTTGGCAACAGGAACCAGATAGAAGATGCTGCTGAGAAGCTCCAGGCAAGTGGGCATTTCTTCCTTCTTCTTAGTTGAGATGTCCACGTTCCTCCCGGGACAGACTATGCAGCCAAGGAAAAATGAAAGCCAGCCGCAAAGGAGATCAGGTCTGGAGGGACCTCGGGCTTCTATAATGGAGGGCGGCGATTTTCAACGGGTGTGCCCCAGGAATTTTTAAAACGTGCAATACCTGACTATTCAGTCAAAGGCATGGGCCTCTTTCCCCTTAGATTATCAAATGAAAAGCTGACAACGGCCAACTCAACAACAGCCATCCGGTGTGAATGAATGGAAATTATACCTCATTTTTTTACCCCCCAGATCGGCAGAAAAGTATATTCTTGGTTGGGCCACCACATTTTAGTAATTAGTTTATGTGTGCCGTGAGATGGAAAAGGTTGAAAGTCACTGATTTAGGGGACCCTTTTAAAGCAAAAGAACACAATATCAGGTGTAAGACCATGACAGGGGAGGGGCCTGAGGCTGCTGTTCCATTAGCTTAGTGGTGACTCTGCCTCCGCCCCACACGCCAGCCTTGCCCCATAATACCTCACAGGATGGGGAGCAGCCTTTCTCTCACCATTGCCAAGGCCATTCTCCTGAAGGGACCAGTCCTCCACCCCCCCCCCCCCCCCCAGGCACCTTAACCAAAGCAAAATGCAGCTGAAGGAACACACAGATGGCGCTTTACGTTTCACTGCCATGGTGAAAGGGAAAGGGAGGCATAAATGTACTCCACACCTATTTGCTTTCTTTAGGCGTGCTCCTTTCCTAATGCCGTTTATTTACATGGATCCCTCTGTGTTTTCAGCGGGAAGTCGGGGCTGATGGTATCATGAGCTGCCATTTTGACTGTGAAAACGTTGCTCTGTCTCTAGGGCCTTTTATGTGGACTCAGCCAGCTTCAGCGCCCCTTCCTGGGAGTGAGGGCTCGGGTAGGGTACCGTCGCAGGGCCTGCCCCCTGAGAACTGGATGAGCTTCTGAGTGGCTGGCTAGGACTGTGGCAGTAACCCACAGTGGAGGTTCAGTGTCTGCAAGTCTCCGAGCAGATACAGAGTGGGGCCGCCACGGCAAGATTAGGATCCACCTGCAGAGGCTAGGAGAGCAGGGTTCTGCTTAATCTAAGGTGTGGGAATGCCGAGGCCAAGCCAAGCCACGGAATTGGCTCCCGGTCTGCCCAGCATCCATTAACTGAAAGATGACTGACGACAGGACTCAGTTTGCTGAGGAAAGTTGTGAAAGGGAAAGTGAGGTATAAATATATTCCACAAATATTTACTTTGGCCCTGGTTTAATCATTAATAGTGTCCCTCGCATCTTCAAGAGGAAGGCTCCGATCTCGGGGGGATAAATTCGTTCAAAAGGATCTGGAAACAAAGTTGAGGCACCTGATGTGATGAGGGTGGAGCTTTGGGCTGTTGAGCTAGACCTGGATGGGGGCACAGGTCCACGGTCTGCAAGTCTCCAAGCAGATACAGCGCGGGGCCTCCAAGACGAGAGTGAGGCACCATGTGGACAGTCTAAGGGGGCAGGATTCAGCTTAATCCAAGGAATGGTTTCCTTTCTTTTAACCTTCTTCCTGATTTTCATACCTGTGTTTTGAAATAATTGTAGATTTACAGGAAGTTGCCAAGGCAGTAAGTTTTCACCTCGTTTGCCCCAAGGGTTATATCTTACCTAACTCTTGTACAATTTCAAAACCAGGAAATTGACAGTGTGTGTGTGTGTATGTTCTGTGTCAGCTTATCACCTGTGTAGATTTGAGTAACTTCTGCTGTAACCAAAATACAGAACGGTTCCATCACTACCAAGATCTACCTCCTGCTACACCCGTATAGTCACCCCACCCAGTCCCCAGCAATCCCTGACTCCTAGCAGTCACTCATTTAATCTCTACCTCTATAATTACAGCATTGGAGGATTTGTGACCATGGTATATCTCTTCATTTATTTAGGTCTTTGTTTTTTTTCATCAGTATTTTGTAGTTTTCAGCATACAATCCTGAACATGTGTTGTTGGACTTACACCTAAGCGACTCTCAGAAAAATTAGTGATGGGCATGTGGAAGCTGGAGGTATTTGTATAAAGGGTTAGATGTGGAAAAGAGGGAGGCTCTGCCCCCCCTAGGCCTACATCCCCAATGGAGCTGTCAGAGCTGAGCAATGGGCATGCTCATGAGAAGGACATGGGTTGCCTGTCCACTCTCCTCCCTAAGTTACCAGGCCGTCTCCTGTGGGCATTTATATTTCAGTTCCTGGTTAACAGCAGATTTTTAAAATATATATATTTTTTATTGAATTTTACAGAGAGGAAGGGAGAGGACTAGAGAATTAGAAGCATTGATGAGAAAGAAACATCAGTCAGCTGCCTCCTGCACCCCCCCTACTGGGGATGTGCCTACAACCAAGGTACATGCCCTTGACCAGAATTGAACCTGGGACCCTTCATTCTGCAGGCCGATGTGCTATTCACTGAGCCAACCCAGATAGGGCTCAACAGCAGATTTTTAAAAATTCAGCTATAATTCTGCCACTCCAGGCCAACCACCAGTTCACATTTTGAGACTTTTTTTTTTCTGTACACAAATACTCTTTGGTATAGCATCCAGGATGGAGGGAGGCCCAGTGGCTGGTCTCCCTGTGTGACCTGGAGTCTGTGTTGTCCCCTGGCCTTCAGAAGGCATCTCCACGGTGCCCCCTGTGCCCTGGGTGTGAGCAGCCCCTGCAGAGCACTGCAGGTGAGCGTCTGGGGTGGGTGCTGGGTTTTAGCGGTTCCAGACCGGTTGTCATGTGAGTTTTTTAGTTTTGAGGTTCCGCAAATCCAGATTCCAAGCCTGTTACTGTGTTTATTGGTTTGTTTTGCTAGTGACTCTTTTCCCCAAGACTTGGATGGATGACAAGATTCCTTGCTGCTTCCCCAGGGCAATGGGTCCAGTTTTTCTGGTGCCTGGTTCCTGGATGGAACAGCTCTCTGTGACTCTGGCCTGATGCAGGAGGCCCCCCTCCCCGTCCCCCTGGAATAGGGCCAAGGGTGCCCCGGAGAACCCCCCTGACTGAGCAGGCCCCAGTGCGGTGTGTCACACACATCGGTACGCTCATCCCTCCCGGGGGTCACTCAGCTCCTCTTCTGCCCATGGCTCTGACATCAAGTTCCCTCTGTTTTGGGCACCTGAGGATTTCCTTTTTTGTCGTCTGTTTGATTGTGGGTTTTTGTTGGTTTATTTATTTTTGTTTGTTTGTTTGTGGGGGGGGGGGGGCAGAGGCGTTAACTCATTAAGTCATTTTCCTAATGTGGAACATTTAGGTCATTTCCAGCTTTTCACTAAGTAAAATAGCATTTCAGGGAACATTTCTGGCACCTTGGTTTGCTTCCTCTGGGACACATGTCCAGACGTGCTGCCTCCAGTGCCACAGGCACAGCATTTGTGAGGGTTCCTGTACGCTCTGCCCAGCTGTAGCCCGCAGTCTGTGGCAGCAGGGCCTGGGTCAAGTTGGCAGGTCCGCACTCGTTTACACGGGGCAGTAGCGAGGCAAAGGCCATTTGCCTGAAAATTAGCCCACAAGACAGTTTCGTAAATAAGTTAAAATCAATAAAGATCGTACAATGTCCAAAGTCTGCTGTTCAGAAGCCAATGATCCCGGCCTACACAACCACTCGCCCTTTTTTTTTTTTTTTTTTTTAAATATATTTTATTGATTTTTTTTCAGAGAGGAAGGGAGAGGGATAAAGAGTTAGAAACATCGATGAGAGAGAATCATCGACCAGCTGCTTCTTGCACACCCCCCAATGGGGATGTGCCCACAACCAAGGTACATGCCCTTGACCGGAATCGAACCTGGGACCTTTCAGTCCACAGACCGACGCTCTATCACTGAGCCAAACCGGTTTGGGCACAACCACTCCCTTTTATAGGACAATCAAGGAGGTCATTAATCCCCAACCCACACCCATGAAATGCTTTCCTCTGACATCCTTGTTGTTGGGCTTTTTGTCCCCATCATGACTCCTGGGAGGGGGAGGCGGGGGGGACTCAGACATGCAGGTGTAGGGAGCATTCAATCCTTGCCTGCTACTCTTTTTATTCCAACTGGGACAGGATGCCAGTATGCAGTGGTTGTGTGTGTTTTTTCTGAATCTCCCGAATATTCTGCAAGGAGCTTTTGATACCTTTATAGATGAAGAAAAAGCATATATATTTATGTTTGGTTAATGTCCGGTGAATCCAGACCTAGGAGGGATTTAGACTGTGCACCGTGTCAGGCTGACAGGCCTTGGAGATGGACCCCTCAGGCAGAGGAAATACCTGTCACTGGTCACGTGGGAAGGTACAGATGGACCTGGGGCCATGGCTGTGTTGACCAAAGTCCACCCAGAAAGACAGAAGCCACTCTGAGGGTTTCACCCAGAGGAGATGGGTGCAGGGAATGGTGACAGGCACAGAAGGGACAGAGAAGCCAGCCAGGGCGTGGTGAGGCAAATGGCCCCAGCAGGAAGCACCTTCACCCTGGGCTGCGGGGCCAAAGGGAGGGGTGGTATCAGCAGAGTGCAGAGTCCAGGGCCACCTGGGCAGGAGCCGGAACCAGAGGGCGTCCTGTGGGAGCAGGAGGGTGGAGGGAACGCAGGGAGGCGGAATACCCTGGCTGCTCCCCTCACCCTCTGATCCCCTCTAGTTCCTCCTCCCATTGACCAAACCAAACCCAGCCTGAAGGGGGATCCCGGCCTGCAGGACTCAGCCCTGCCGCTTCCTGAGCAGAGTGGAGGGGGAAAGGGGGCCAGGGAACAGAGCTCCCTGGGGAGTGTGTACACATCCTCACATCCCGGCTTTGTCCCTTCCCCTGTGAGGACCGGGCCACGGCATGGGGTAGAGGACAGGGGGTGACATGAACCAGCCTTTGCCAGATTGAGACTAGGAAGCTGAGGGCTCGGCCAGGCCTCGCTGTTGTCCCTGCCGATGCCATTGGTCTCCACCACCCTGCTGGGGGTGGCCATTCCTCTGCCCCTTCCCGCCAGCCGCTGCCATGTATCCGCGTGCGTGGATGTCATAGCTACTGTGGCCTGGGCAGGGCTGGCCAGCACACTGCCTCCCCTGGTGGGACGCCCCTGAGAGGCAGTCATCACAGGATTGTCCACAGTCATTCAGTTTTCAGCAAAAACAGTTCTTTCCAGTCCATGTGTAAAACCCTCCACCTCCCAGGCCGGGGCGTGGTCGCTGCTCAAGTTCTTTCTCCCCCACAGTCCTTAGATCTGTCTCCTCAGCCAGACTCTGTCAGGCCCTGGCCCAGCCCTAGCCCCATCCAGCTGCATCCAGACCTCAGTTCAGTTCAATCTGGGATCCAGTTTCACTTTGAACGGATGCAGCCTAAACCAGACCGCACTTCCTGTTTCATTGCCAGAATTCTACCTCTCCCCCTTTTTTAAAACTTTGAATCATACTGCATAATCAGCCTCATATGCTTGCACCTGAAGTTTTCTTGGGGATATTTTTAGTTATAACAATGTGTATTGCCATTAAGATTGTGTGTTTTTTTTTGGGTTTTTTTTGTTTTGTTTTGTTTTTTGGGGGGGTAAAGATTATTTTGTAGCCCTGCCAGGGTTTCTCAGTGGTTAGAGCATGCCCTGCACACCGAAGGGTCTCAGATTGATTCCCGGTCAAGGGCATGTGCCTGGGTTGCAGGTTTGATCCCTGTCCCCGATCTGGGCATGTGTGGGAGACCCTTCGGTGTGCGGGCTGACAGTTGAATCATTGAGCAACACTGGCCAGGGCAGGACTCATTTTTAAGAAGTACCTAACCATAGCACCATCATCACACGAATGAAAATTAACAATAGTTTCTTAATGTCATCAACTATCCTATCCACTCAGTGGTCACATTTCCAGTTGTCTTGTAAGTGTCACATGTCATTTGTTTGACTTAGGAGTGAAATAAAGTTTCGAGATGCACTTGCTTGATGTATTTCTTAGGTTGATGGCTCACACGTTCCTCTCTCCTCTGTGCTGAATCTTTTATTTAGATCTAGAGGCTTGATCTGATTCAGGTTCACACTTGTTGGCAAGACTACTTCATAGGTAGGGTTCTGTCTGAATTTGTTTTTATTATATATATAAAATAAGAATCTAACTTAAATTTTTTATCAAACACATGGCTAATTGCATATTGTACTGATACCATTTGTTGAATAGTTCACGCTTTCATTTCAGTAATTTGAAATGCCACCATTATTGTGTGTGTATTTGTATACTATATATATATATTTTTTTTATAACTTTATAACTCTTTATTCTGTGTTCCTGATTATTTTGTCTATGCCTAAGCTGTATGGTTTTAAATCCTATAGCAGTCTGTTTGATATTTAATAAGGCAACTCATCCTTCATTGATGTTTTTAAAGTAATTTTTTACTTTTCTTGTGCTTAGTCTCCCCTACTGGGGATCGAGCACACAAGCCAGGCATGTGCCCTGACCAGATATCAAACCAGCGACTCTTGGGTACACAGGATGATTCTCAACAAACTGAACCACACTGGCCAGGTCTCCCCCATGATCATTTAATTTTTGTTTAATCTGCTCGTTAAGACTTATTTGGAGTGTGCCCAATTTATAGACTAAGTTGGAGATAGATAGCATCTTTTTTAAAAAATATTTTTAATTGATTTCAAAAATAAAATAAAATTTAAAAACACACCCAATAAATAAATAAATAAATTGATTGATTGATTGATTGATTTCAGAGAGGAAAGGAGAGGGAGAGAAATAGAAACATCAATGATGAGAGAGAATCATTGATCCACTGCCTCCTACACACCCACTTCGGGGATCCAGCCTGTAACCTGGGCATGGCCCTGACCGGGAATCACACTGTGACCTCCTGGTTCACAGGTTGTCGTTCGACCACTAAGTCACCGTGGCTGGGCCAAAGAGCACCTTTGTAGTAATGAATCTTCCACAACCAGGGATATGTTTTTTTCTTCCACACATTCAGATTATTTTATGTCTTTCAGTACAACTTTATACTTTTCTTTATCTAGGTCTTTGCAGCTTTTTTTTTTTTTCCAGTTTTATTTCTAGATACATTGCTATATCATCCATTGTTTTAAAAGGATCTTTGTTTCTCCATGCATGTTCCAATTGGGTATGGCGGGTCGAGTTTTTGTAAGTTGATCTTGTCCCTCACTGGACCTTGCTTTTACATGTCGTCATAGTTTTTGCATGTTGATTATCCTGGGTTTCCTGGTTGGCACTCACATCCTCTGCAACTGGTTTTCTTTTTAGGCTCATGCAGAGTCAAGTAAAATCTGGCTGGCAGGGAAATTCACTGAACTCCGATTGCTACTTGATGAAGAGGAAGCCCTGGCCAAGAAATTAATCGATAAGAATACCCAGCTTACCCTCCAGGCCTACAGGGAGCAAATCAAGTCCTGTGAGGACCAAATTGACGTCTTGAACCGTCTCTCTGACAGAGTTTGCAGTATCAGCCAGGAGTCCGACCCTGTCCAGCTGCTGCAGGTAATGCTGGGTTTCTGCCTCACAGCTGCCACCTGCCAGCCGCCACCCACATTTCATCGTGGTTCCTATGGCTTGAGCACAGTATTTGCACACTGAGTTAACACACAGAGAATTGCCTTGTTAGCAAACAGACTTTCCTGCCCCTTCACAAGCCGTCAGGAAATAGACATAGTTAGGAAGATAATGAATATCTTGGACTAATGAAATAACCTTTGCAGCCACCCTCATGGATCTTAGCTTGAATGTTGACCAGAACTCGGCAAAGTGGATATTCTCACCCCACTTTACAAATGGGACGCTGAGGCTTGGGGAGGTGAAGTGACTCATTTGAGGTCACCCAGCTGGTAGGTGGCAGAGCTGGGATTGGAACCCAGGTTTCTCTGATTCTAAAGCTGCAAAGCATCATTGCTCAGGCCTCTACCGACCGGTCTATAGTCTTTATTGAAACACTCCTCCTGGAGAGGCGAGGATCTGTCAGCTACTGAGCATCCTCAAGAGCTGGGTTGCAGTTTGCTCAAGGGAGAGAGAAGAATGGAACTCCTTGGCCACTGGGCTCTCCTGCAGGTCATCACCTTCACCAAGAGGGAGCCTCTTAGAAACAGTCTCTGTGATGTTCGTACTGCACTTAGTGAAAGCATGTGTAAAGGCTGGTGTTCCTGTCTTTGAGGAACCAATACTCCGGGGCGGTCACCTGTGCCTTTGATCGCTTCCCACTCACGCACCTCTTCCTGTTCCCTTCTTCGCTATGACTTCTGGGAGCTAGATGCATTTCAAGTAGCTGGGCTGCGACTTCATGGCATATATTTTGTGCCTTACCTCACTCTGTTTTCCAGTTTATGTTCTTATCCTGGTTTCCTCTTTGCTTCACTTTTCCCACCGTAAAGGGAAATCTTACAGGATTAGATAATTTTTGAAAGATGCTTTAAGGACTTCTGGGTATAATGGGGGCACCGAGTCTAACCACAAATTTGCATGGGTTCTGACTGTAAAATAACGCAAATAAATTCGTCAATGCAAAACCAGCCAAGCCAGGCCCTGGTGGATATTTCCACTCTTGTGCCTTTATGTGGCCTTGGTCAGCTCAGCTTGTGTCTCATTGTTAGTTAACAAAAAAGATAAAAACAGCCGGGACCGGTTTGGCTCAATGGATAGAGCGTTGGCTTGGGGACTGAAAGGTCCCGGGTTCGATTCCGGTCAAGGGCATGTACCCTGGTTGCGGGCATATCTCCAGTAGGGGGTGTGCAAGAGGCAGCTGATCGATGACTCTCATCGATGTTTCTGACTCTCTATCTCTCTCCCTTCCTCTCTGTATAAAATCAATAAAATATATTAAAAATATATATATAAAAAAAAGATAAAAACAAAGCTATATAGACACAGACAACAGCATGGTGATTACCGGGAGGGGAGGGAGCTGGGTAATGGAGGATAAATGGTGATGGAAGGAGACCTGACTTGGGGTTGTGAACACCCAGTACAATATACAGCTCATGTGTGGTAGAATTGTATATCTGAAACCTATGAAGTTTATGATCCAATGCTGCCCAATAAATTCATTCTTTTTTTAAAATATATTTTATTGATTGTTTTACAGAGAGGAAGAGAGAGGAAGAGGGACAGGGAGCTAGAAACATCGATGAGAGAGAAACATTGACCAGCTGCTTCCTGCACACACCCTACTAGGATGTGCCCGCAACCAATGTACATGCCCTAGACCGGAATCGAACCTGGGACCTTTCAGTCTGCAGACCAATGCTCTATCCACTGAGCCAAACCAGTTTAGGCACCCAATAAATTCAAAATAAAAAAATAAGCCTAACAAAAAATTCTGAGTGAGGTGCTGTCCAATGCACAATGGTTACTGTACTTCGATGCATAGGGGGGTACAGTTGTTTGTTTCTTTTAAAATAATGGAGCCCCTGCCTTGCTGGCATGGCTTGGTGGTTGAGCATCGGCCTATGAACTAGGAGGTCGTGGTTCAATTCCAGGTCAGGGCACATGCCGGGTTGTAGGCCTGAGCCCTAGTGTGGGGCATGCAGGAGGCAGCTGATCAATGATTCTCTCTCATCATTGATGTTTCTGTCTCTATATCTTGCTCTCTCTCTCCCTTCCTCTCTGAAATCAATAAAAATATATTTTAAAGAATAAATAAATAAAAATAAAAGAATAGTACCCTTTAGGAATAGCTAACTCAAAGGGCTGCTCCATGAAGAAGGTTGTTATTCCTCCATCACAGGTAGAGTTTCAAGGCTTTGTCATTTTTATTTTTTTTTTTAAATTCTCTGGTGCCAGAGCTACTGATTTTCACCATTCATCATTCCTTCCACTTGCTCATTCATTCATCAGATATTCAGTGAGCAACCTGTTCTGCCCAGGCCCCAGCTCATGCTCAGAAACAGGTATTTACAACACAGCTCAAGTGAGCTAGCAAAAGCGTGACTGAGAAATGTCCAGTTCTGCAGAGGGGATCAGGGAAGGCTTCTAGGAGGAGGTGATAGTGAGCAATGTGTGGGAGGATGAGGTATAGACGGAAGGATGAAGCAGAGGGGACGTTCCAGGCAGAAAGGAACCACGTGCATGTGGGAGCTTGGCGGGCTGCAGAGCCACCTGCGTTCAGCCTGGATGGTGGTGAGCAGGGCTGCAGGTGCAGGGGAGCTGGGAGACGCAGCTGGATCGGGAGGCCAGGGTTTGTTGATGAAGGGCCATGGAATTTAGACTTCGTTCTGTTAAGAGATGGGGAGCAGGGGAGTATTTTGAACTGAGGAATGACAGTCTGCTGTGTGGGGTCTGCTGTGCGGGGTCTGCTGTGCGGTCATTCCTGGGGGCATGGCCCTGGCTGGCCGGTGGTGCCAGGGCCAGGTGGGGTAGGACCTGCACTTGGCCAGGGTTGTTCCTGGTGCAACTGTGGAGCCAACCTGACCCCCCTGTGTCCCTGCAGGAGTTCACGGCCACGGAGCGGGAGCTGAAGAAGCAGATGAGCGTGGGGGAGCTGTGCCACCCCGTGCCCCAGTCCTTCGCGCCCATCAAGACCTTCTTCAAGGGCCTCGTGGAAGCCATGCAGAGCATGATACAGACGCCACTAGAGGTTCGGGTGAAGGACAGTAAGTCCCCGTGTGACCGGCTCTGTGGCCCTTACTCCCTCCCTGCCCTTTAACCCAGAGACAGCAGGGAAGATGGCCACCCAGAATCATGTCTCCCACACAGAGGCCTTGGGCTGGGTGGTCCCGGACTCCTGGCTTGCACCCACCCCACCCTTCTGACTTCACTTCCTCCCCTTCCTGAGACGGGCTCTGCCCCTTAAAGCCACACTGCTCTGCTCCTGCCATCAGTCGTTCCTGGGATTCCGCCACACCTCCACTCTGCCCGCTCCGGGGTCCCAGCCCAAAGGACCAACTCCTCCTCTTCCTCCGCCTGCTCAATCCCACCGTCCCTTCAGGCCAGCACGGCTGTGCCGTACTCACCGGGAAGCTCACCACGTCACCTTGGGCCCCTTCTGCCACTGGACTCTACCCCTCTGTCCTTTCTCTGCAGAGCCTGCCCCCATCTCCTGCCTGGGTTTTTTGTTGTTGTTGTTGTTGTTGTTGTTGTTGTTGTTTTGCCCGGGGTGTTTTTCATACATGGATCCTTCCCTGCCTCTCATACATGCCTGGATAGCAAGAACCATTTTGGGTCCAGCTCTGAGATTCCTGAAACAAAGCAGGTGCTCAGAAATATTCATTCATTCATTCATTCATTCATTCATTCATTCATCTCTGCTATTATGATTCATTCAGAGCATTTATGGAGCCCCTATTCCGTGCCAAGCACAGCTCTTGCCTTTGTGGTTCTCAGTCTTTTGAGGGGAAGACAGAGAACAAATGAATATGTCAGCGATAAGGCCTCCGAAGAAAAATAAAGCAGGTTAAGTGGAATAAAGAGGGAGGAGGAGGGAAGAACTTGAGATTTGGGGCACAGAGAGGAAGCCATAGTGACTGGGCACAGACAGGGGGCCATAGTGACTGGGCATAGTGGTGAGAGATGAGGTGGAAAAACTTGGAAGCTACCTTGTCACATGGGGCTGGAGGGCAGTGCTAGCTCTGAAGATCAGGAGAAAAGGAGAAGGAAAGGGGTGAGAGGAAGCAAGGCAGAAATGTTGCAAGCACGCCCTGAACATCTCTGGGAACTGGAGGGAGGTGAGCCAGGCCCGGGCTGCAGCACATGAGGGAGCTCAGGTGAAGGAAAGAGCGATTCTGATGGGAAATCCGGGAGCCTTGCTGGAGGAGCTGGGACTTCCGCTGGGCATGACTCACTAAGGTTTTGACAGTGGGCGAGCCAGAAAGGCATTGCACACGGAGACAAGGAAACACAACTGGGGGCGCTGATGCCTGCAATGGGGCTGAGCCATAGATTTTCCTGAGCTGGTTTGTCAAAGCAGATTTTTTAAAAAATCCTCACCCAAGGATATCAAGGATATGTTTATTGATCCCTCCCCCCCCCCCCAGAGAGAGTTGGGGAGAGAGGAAATCATTGAGGTGAGGACTCACCTTTAACGTCTTGTTTTCCATCTTTATCCTGGAATTTGCATTTCTGTTCTGAGGTTGCCCCATCGTTGACTTGTTTAGTTTCTAGTTGATTCTCAGGATGGTTCTGGAGCCTGCCATCTCCTCCCCGTGTTCAGGGCCCACTCACACTGACCTGCCTTTGCTGAGTTTGTTCCAGACCCTGGGAGAGCATTTCTCCTCAGATCTGAGCGCTTTCCTGGAGTTTTCCTGTGACTGTGGATTTGTATTTCCCACCTACATAGGCATGGTTTTGGGGGAGAGAGAGCTTAGATGAATTTCCAGTTTTATAATAGTTTGGGCATGTTTTATAATGTGTGCTGCCTGCATGAGCGCGTGGCACTCATTTCTTACACTTCATTGCAGACATGAACTGCCAGCTCTCCAGCTTCTCTAGCACCAAGCCGGACTCCCTGTTGAAAATCAGTCCCTCACCAGAGCGATCGCTCTTCTTGAAATGTAAGACCCCCAGGGTGGAGAGGGTGGGGTGCATTGGTGGGAAGGGGGGTCATGAAATGGAGTTCCACCCTTTTCCCCTAAGAGGCCCAACTTGTTGTGTGTGTGTGTGTGTGTGTGTGTGTTTTACCACTATTATTACTTTTTATAAATGTAAAAATAATATGTTTATTTTAGAAAACAAAGGAAAGCAAAAAACTTTTTAAAATCAACTATAAATCACTGGAGAGCTTTGGGAACTCTTCTGCTCCTAGCCACCTTAGTAGATATGTAGCAGTAGGTTATTACTAGTATTTGCCCTTTTTGTTTTCTTTGGCAAATGTCTATATATTGAAAGTGGGTTTTTTTCAAACATGGTATCATAGTGTACATACTGTTTTGTAATCTGTTTTCATTTACTGATACATTGTGAACATCTTCGTTCCCTTAAAAAATTACACAGCCCTGGCTGGTGTGGCTCAGTTGGTTAGACCAATGGTCAGCAAACTCATTAGTCAACAGAGCCAAATATCAACAGTACAACGATTGAAATTTCTTTTGAGAGCCACATTTTTTAAACTTAAACTATATAGGTAGGTACATTATTATTAACTTAATTAGGGTACTCCTAAGCTGGCCTTTGCTAAAACTCAAGGGGCCAAAGAGCCGCATGTGGCTCGAGAGCCGCAGTTTGCCAACCACTGGGTTAGAGTATCCTCTGCCTAAGGGGTTGCCGCTTTCGATTCCAGATCAGAGCACATACCTAGGTTGTGGGTTTGATACTGGTTGGGGGGTGCATAAGAGAGACAACTCATTAATATCTCTTATCACACATCGCTGTTTCTCTTTCTCTCCCTTCCTTTCTAAAATCAATGGGAAATATACTCAGATGAGGATTAAAACCTCACTATGGAAAACTCTAACACAGTACTGAGAAAGTTATTTGGCAGAATCTACTGAAGCTGAATATCCACATATCCTATGAACTAGACTTAAAAAAACAAACACAACATTTTGTCTGTAACAAGAACTATTATTGGGAGTTTAATCACTACCACCTTTCTGGAGGACACTGTCAATATTTACCAAAGTTATTTCCATTCACCCAGCAATTCCTCTGTTAGGAATATATCCCAAAGAAATAATAAAATACATGAAGATGTAACCATATTAGTGTTTTCAAAAGCCTTCCGAAGAGCCTAAATATTTTAAAGGGAGTAGGTTTATTTTTTTTTTTTTTTTAAATCAATCTTTATTGTTCATATTATTACAAAGGTTCCTCATTTCTTCCCCCCTCCACCAGGTTCCCACCCCACCCTCCGTCCCCCTCCCCATCCCCCATTGTCCTCATCCATAGGTGCAGTTTATGTTCAGTCTCTTCTTCCCTCAATTTCCCCAATAGTAAATCCCTTTTCAGATAGTAAATCAGTTACTTAGCATTTTCTCATATCAATAATACCTCCACATGCCCAATGATACACTTCACACAAAAGACATTTCCCACTAGGTCAACCAGCCTCATCCAGGCCCCACCCAAGGCACTCACAGATCAACACCCCAGTCCTAAACTAACTCAACACATCCAGATCTAAGCCTTCATCACTTGATTCAGCAGACCCTCAAATTCCCACGAAAGTTTCCAGCCATGTCTGAGAAGCAGCCGTGGGGCAGGGGCAGGCAAGGAGCGAGCTGTTCTAGGCCTGGCTGCTCAGGGCCTGGCCTCTGTTGCTCTGGTTCATTCCACAACCAGCTGCTCCGGGTCTGGTCACTGCCGCTCCCGACCTAGTTGCTCTGGACTTGGCTGCTGCTGCTCCGGGCCTGGCCGCTCCCAGCCTGGCAGCCGCTGCTCCGGGCCTGGCCGCACCCGACCCGCCTGCTCCCCCGGGCCTGGCCGCTCCCAGCCTGGCAGCCGCTGCTCCGGGCCTGGCCGCACCCGACCCGCCTCCTCCCCCGGGCCTGGCCGCTCCCAGCTGGCAGCCGCTGCTCCGGGCCTGGCCGCACCCGACCCGCCTGCTCCCCCGGGCCTGGCCGCTCCCAGCCTGGCAGCCGCTGCTCCGGGCCTGGCCGCACCCGACCCGCCTGCTCCCCCGGGCCTGGCCGCTCCCAGCCTGGCAGCCGCTGCTCCGGGCCTGGCCGCACCAGCCTAAAGGGAGTAGGTTTAAATATAATGCATCCATACATAAAAATATTAGGCTTGCCATTAAAATACTCTTTGAAAGAATATTATTGGATGTGGTAAAATGTTCCTAAATACATCAGTACATTTTTATTTATTTATTACTTAAAATATTTTTATTGATTTCAGAGAGGGAGAGGAAGAAAGAGTAGAAACATCAATAATGAGAGAGATTCATTGATCAGCTTGCCCCTGCACATCTCAAAGTGGGAATCCAGCCAGCAACCCGGGTCTGTGCCCCACCTGGGAAATGAACCATGACCTCCTGGTTTCATAGGTTGACGCTCAACCACTGAGCCACGCCAGCCGCGCCTACATCATTCAATTTTTTAAAAAGATTGTCCAAAAGCATGGAGGTATGATACCAATGTAAAGGAAAGCTATAAAGCAGCAAGTAAAAACATTGAAAGGATATACTCTCAGGTCTTAACAGTGATGGGATTATTTTAGTAAAGTTTTTAGAAATTAGCAACCAATGACAAGGTTCAAAATTCAAATGGTATAACGGGTGTACAGTCCACTATGCTCTCCTTCCCCTGTTTCCCCAGTCACCTCCCCAGAGACAATCGGGGTTAAAAGGGTGGCTTTCCATTTCTCCAGGGGAGATTGCGGGGTTTTCCCATTTTCTTTTTAATATATTTTATTGATTTTTTTACAGAGAAGAAGAGAGAGGGATAGAGAGAGTTAGGAACATCGATGATCAGCTGCCTCTTACACACCCCCTACTGGGGATGTGCCCGCAACCAAGATACACGCCCTTGACCGGAATCGAACCTGGGACTTTTCAGTCCGCAGGCCGATGCTTTATCCACTGGGCCAAACCGGTTTCGGCTTCCCATTTTGTTGTGAGCACGTGTGGGTCTGCGGGTGTGAACCGGGTAGGTTTTCCGGGGGCGGGGCGCAGCGCTGGCCCCGCCCACCAGGCGTGCGTGCTGTCCCCGCCCCCCGCAGACGCGCGCACGCCCACGCTGGACCCGGACACGATGCACGGGCGCCTGCGCCTCTCCGACGACCGCCGGACGGTGCGCCTCGTCCTGCTCTGCCGCCTGGGGCCGTCGCCCGCGCTGCGCTTCGACACGCTGAGGCAGGTGCTGGGCAGCGACTGCTTCGCGGCCGGCCGCCACTACTGGGAGGTGGACGTGCAGGAGGCGGGCTGCGGCTGGTGGGTGGGCGCGGCCTACGCCTCCCTGCGGCGCCGGGGCGACTCGGCCGCAGCGCGCCTGGGCTGCAACCGCCAGTCCTGGTGCCTCAAGCGCTACGACCTGGAGTACTGGGCCTTCCACGACAGCCAGCGCTGCCGCCTGTGGCCCCGCGACGACCCCGACCGGCTGGGCGTCTTCTTGGACTACGAGGCCGGCGTCCTCGCCTTCTACAACGTGTCGGACGGCATGAGCCACCTCCACACCTTCCGCGCTGCGTTCCAGGAGCCGCTCTTCCCAGCCCTGCGGCTCTGGGAAGGGGCCATCAGCATCCCCCGGCTGCCCTAGGGGCTCAGATTGGAGTGGACTGCCCTTAGGCTTTCCTGGACTCTGGTTACACCCGACCCAGACGTGAGTTGTCCACTGCCTGCTCTCCAAGCACACCCGTGGTCTCCCCCGCCAGCGTGCACTTTGAACAGGTCCTCTCCTAGGCTGGATTCAGACGTGCCTTAAGCATAGGTCCCCTGCTGCTGCTGCTCTCAGCAGACCTCCCCACCACTTACCCTATACTGCCTTTAGGCCGGGTTCCTGAAAGGACACACTCACAGGTGAGCTCTGGGCATCCTTACCAATCACAATACACTAGCCTCAAACCTCCACCTCATACAGAAGCCGAAACTGCCTGGCACATAGTAGGTGCACAATAAATGCGCGAGTGCAGGAGAGTCACCCAGCCCTGACTTGATCTAACCGGTGTCCCTGGGCTCTGTCTCTGCATTCTATGCCGCTCAGCTTGTCCATGTTTCCTCCCTTCAGAGCAGCATCAAGAGCCTCTTCATAGCACCTGGCCTGAACCCTCTCCCGTCTTCCACCTATATAACCAGAGTGATCTGCCTAAGACCGTACTTAACCTCCCAGAACTATGAAAAGGTTCCAAGGAAAGCACTTCACCTCACCTTAGCTATTCAGGGTTTTTGTAGGCTGCCCCTAAGCTACTCCTTAGCTAGCTTCTGCAGCTCTTTTCCAATACCCTCCAGCAGAACTGTCACATCGTGGGCCTCTGCGCCTTTGCAGCTATCTTGCCCCCTGTCCCCGCGCACATTTATATGGTAAAGCCCTTCTTTGCCTGTCTCGGTCTTCCCAAGCCACTAAAATCTTAGTATCAGGGCCACAAACATGGGAGCTATCTTTCTAACTAGATTGGAAGCTTTCTAAGGGCAGCTGTGACCTATACTCTCCCTGACCTGCCCTCCCAGGCAGTGACTAGCCAGCAGCTGGCTGTCATTTAGTCACAGAGCAGCTGGGCTGGGAGAGCCTGACAGACCACTCAGCCTGACCTCTTGGTACATTTCGGAGACTAAGGTCCTTACCTGAAAGAAAGTTGCTGAAAGTCACCTATGGTGATTGAGGGCTGGGCCATACTCCATGCCCGAGGCAAGTTTCTGATTTGCCCTAATAAGCCTTTAACACGGGAGATTTCCCTGCTTATCTTTCCTGGGGCTGTAGGGAAGAATCAGCAGGTGGCAGTTACTAAGCAACCACTGGCAGTTTTCCCACTGTCTTAGAATCACAAGGAGAGCAGCATGAGGGGAGTTGGGCAGCCCAGACACCCTGTGCTTCTCAGATCCCTCAGATGCACGTGTTGTCAAGGAAACGCATAGAGCCCCACTTTCCAGAAGGAACTGACATAAACAGAGAAGGCCAAACTGGCAGGACCTCAGGGAGGCCAGCTCCTCTAGCAGGGAGGAAAAGACCTCCATCCAGGGCCTGTGCCTCAGTTCTAAAGGTTCAGCACCCTGATTTGTCAAGTTCCCTGGACAGTTTTCAAGTTATATCGTGTTAAATTTATCTTGTTAAGTGCTTGGCAGGACAGTGGTAGGGTGAGGAAAACACAAAGCTGAATCTCCCTCATGGTTTAAACAGACTAAGTGCATTAATTAGTTTGAACCATAAAAAAAAAACCTGAGAATTTCCAATAGTTTTTTTTACCTAAAAATGGCACTTTCGTATGGGGCAATGTAATACAATTGGAATACAAGACAGAAGGAACCTCAAAAGTGCCTTTAGTTCTAACCAAATAATTTAAAACTCTTAACTTGAATAGATGTCTAAGCACTATGCTCCAGGAATCCTGAGAAAAGGATATTTTACGGGGGATGGTCCCAAACTGAATTCAGACAGAGAGCTTTCCTGACAGAGCAAGGGGGGTACACTTGACTCTACACCTCTGTTCATCCCTGCAAATCCAGACTGGCTCCCAACCCACAGCCAACAGGGGCTGAGTAACAAGGGCCCTTGCTCCTTGTTGGGCACTGTCCTAATGCTTTATAGCTATGAACTCATTTGATCCTCACAGAAAGTTATCCCAATTGAGACACACAGGTCACACAGCTAATGGTGGAGCTGGGGTCTGTGCTTATGTCCACTGTTAGAGCAAATGTAGCCAGTTCTCTGGTCAGCACCTGCGCACGCTAGCTGCTCTCAGTGGGCCTGGAATGCTATACTCTTTTGCCTGGAATGCTATACTCTTTTTACTCTGTGGGACCTGAATCTAGCTTTGGATTATCTCCCTTGGGCTCTTGAGATAAGGTCTTTTTTTTTTTTTTTTTAATATATATTTTATTGATTTTTTACAGAGAGGAAGGGAGAGAGATAGTCAGAAACGTCGATGAGAGAGAAACATCCACCAGCCGCCTCCTGCACACCCCCCACCAGGAATGTGCCTGCAATCAACGTACATGCCCTTGACCGGAATCGAACCTGGGACCTTTCAGTCTGCAGACCGACACTCTACCACTGAGCCAAACTGGTTTCGGCTTGAGATGAGGTCTTATACCCAGAGTGGGGATTTGAGAGTAGCAGAGACTATAAAGTTGAAAAATAGCTTAAAAAAATAAATAAATTAAAAAAATAATAATAATAATATATATATATATATATATATATATATATATATATATATATATATATAATTTTTTCACAAAGAGGAAGAGAGAGGGATAGGGAGTTAGAAACATCGGTGAGAGAGAATCATCAATCAGCTGCCTCTTGCACACCTCCTACTGGGGATGTGCCTGCAACCAAGATACATGCCCTTGACCAGAATCGAACCCGAGACCTTTCAGGCCGCAGGCCGACACTCAATCCACCAAGCCAAACCGGTCCCGGCTGAAAAATAGCTTTTATCAAATGCCTACTTGGTGCCAAGGCCTGCACCAGTTGGAAAACTGGTTTTGGTCCACAGTCAACTCTGACCTCAGGCTTTTTACTTCTCTGAGGATCCTCTGTCAAGTGGGTGTGAAAATCCTGTTACCAGTGCTGTGAATCTCAAATGAGCCAAGGATAGGAACTAGCCTTAAAAACTTTACAGAGTTGTGCCTTGCCAGGATGTGTGAGCATCCCCAGCAGAGTTCCTGTTGTGCTTAGTACTGAGACAACTGCTACTTCAAACTGCCATCTGACAGTAGCAGGAGATTCCTTGTATATTCACAGGAAAGAACTGAGCTTCCTTGGGGTCCATGTCTGCAAGGATATTGATCATTCTTTCAGATTTGAATTTGTAGAAATTTCTTAATTGATACAGCGAATTGCTTGCAGATGTGTGTAAATGACAGCAATTTTCTAATATATAAGTTCACATAAAATATAATATTTGTCTTTTTAAATTGATTTTTCAAGAGGGAGAGGAGAGAGACATCTATTGGTTGGCCAGGGATTAAACCTGAATCTGGGTATGTACTCTCACTGGGAATTGAACCTGCCACCTTTGGTGTACAGGACACTTCAACTGAGTGTTTATAGGAAAAATATGAAAGGGAGTAAATATCAGCCAGAAATTGGTACTATCAGACTTTAGTTCTTATATCAATTTTATGGGTTTTCTTTTACACATGAGTACAACCCAGGATTCCTATCTCACCCCTTCTACACAGACTTGAGTACCTTTCCAGAAACTGTTTTGAGATCTGCAAGAGAGGAAGGTTCTATACTTACAAGTAAATAAATTTCAAGAGGCTAATTTATGCATTTGAAAAGAGATGCACTTTGAAACAAGAGGAGTTATAGTAAACAAAGTCAAATGTGAACAAAAAGAAATATGATAGGAAATTTCTGTGAAAGGTTCATGCTGCTGTTTAAGGACATAAGACAATCTTTTTTATTAGCTGGGTTTACAATTTCATTATGGATCATAGAAGGGCTGATTTCAGCATTACCACCATATTCAAAGTCGTCACAACATGCTAACACACCAAGCCCACATTCCCCATCTCCCTCACTTGGTTCTATTCCTCCTTTACCCCCATTGCACCTACCACCTTTTAACATAGTTAAATCAACTGTGTTCATGGTTTATTGTATATATCATATGGCCCCACCTGAATGGAAGTTCCATGAGGAAGGGATTGGACTTATCCTCAGGACCTAAAAGTCTGCCAGAGCTGTTGAAAGAAGTTCCCTCTTTTCTCTGAGATATGAGCACTTTCGTTATTTCACTGCCTGCAAGACCCTTTGACCAATACGTACTAGAATACCAAGTGATCACTATATAGCCAACTGAACACAGAGCCCAGGTGTGGGCAGGGGACAGGGCCATGGAGAAAGACCGCTGGAGGTCTGGAAGGGAGATTTCAGGTCATTTGGGTTGCTTTTGTGGGCAATAAAAATGAAAGCTTAAAAGACAGGACCTATCCAGCCAGCAGTTGTCCCTCTTGCACCCACACAACTGGAGGTGACAACTTCCTTTTGAGCCCACTTCCCCTCCTGGGCCAGCCAACCTGAAGCAGAGATGGTTGTATTTGCTTTTTTGTTGTATTCCTCCAACAAAAGGGCCTGGCCCAAAAGTGTCTGCTGTCAGGGACAGGGAGTGAATGAGAATCAGGTCTTTGGAGACCACTTCTGTCCCACTTCACCCAATATAAACAACAGTACCAACAAGGCAATTCAGAATTCAGAGAGTGGCACTTTATTTTAAGACTTGATTTTTTTGCCATGATTGTCTACAGATTCTTCCATGATGGTGTCGTCTTCTTCAATAGTGACCAGGACCTTCTTGCCCACCAGGCTAAAGATGTCTTCAGGAGGGTAGCCTTTGGGCTCACCCACCTTCACGGTCAGCATGTCTAGTGTGAGAATGGTGCCTTCTGGAATTTTCACTTTGGCCACCACAGACTTGCCCAGCTGTGGACAAAAGTAACACTCAGTGCTAGTCTCACAAAAGTAACTAGTGCACATTGCTTTATACTCAAGATGCCTGATCAGTCTTCACATGGTGTCTTGAGAATAGGGACTTTTCTCACCCTTGGTACCTAGAGCAGTATGTCAGACATGGCAGGGACTTGGCCAGTGTG